TTCGCATCGTGTCCTTCGTTACCTTAAGCGCAAAAGTGTTCGTGTAGGTTCCTACTTCAGTTTTCTAGTTCTACCATAGTCATGACTGTCACTTCGGGGCCTGCCCGGCAGGGAGGGGAGAGTCCCACTCCCAATTCTTAGGATCCATGGGAGTTTACTCTGAAGACCATGTCTTCGATAAGAGAGGAGCATCTGGAGATAGTGAAGAGAGACTACGGATGAGGCGAGGGGGTAGCGTTGCAGGCGCTTTCCCCGGATGAGGATATCATGGACCCTACCAATGGATTCCTGTACGTGTACTTGTATCCTTTCGCACTAGGCCCCCTTAATAGGGTCGTGCTCAATTTCTGTTTAAAGTGTCAGGTTACTTTGGCGCAGATACATCCGTCGTTTTGGCGAGTAGTGCTGATGATGAGATTCTTTGCGGAGAAGGATGGGCTTGAATTCACACTTAGTCACCTTTTCAGGCTGTACCAACCCTTTCATCATCGAGGCCTGCTAACTTTGCGATGTCGTTTGTCTATGCCCTTTGTTGTTGATGATAAGTAAGATGGGGGTCCAGAGTGGGTCAGTCAATTTGTCCGAGTCCGGACGACTGACATTATCCCCGTGGAACTCATGCCATTTCCTGAGGAATAGAATTACGCGCGTGAGTGGAGTGTCTCGTGCTTTCTTAGATTTTCTTATAGCGAAAGCCGGTTTAGTAATTAGGTTTCCTTTTTTTCTGCAGCAACTTTGTGGGTGCCAGGCGAAGTTCCTGATTTGCCTGGCTGGGTCCGGAGGTTGCCGACCCATTCAACTTGCGACGAGCGTAGGTGGTGAGCTGTGTCCCGAGGCAGATGAGAAGTGAGATACCAAGGTATGTGCGTACGCTACTTTTACTTTGGCCTTCATATATTTGAGATGACATTTTCCTATTTTCATGTACTTACCTTACCGTCATAGGTATCGGAAGGTCCCTAGGGGCGAGGCTGTGCTCCTCCGGAGAGGGGGTAGTTGTCGGCTTCCGAGCCAAGGGACGATGGTGATAAACGGGATATACACTCGCAGTGCGATAAAGCTTTTAGCGGGGCTAAACGGGTCCGCGTCTTCGAGGAGGAAACATCCTTCGAGCCTGCTGTTCCTGAAGTCTTCAGTTCTGGAGCGGTGGTTCCTCCGAGTGATCATGCTTTGACTGAGGTCGGTTCTTCCAGGTCGAGGGGGCTAGACCAACAGGAGTGTGCTCGGCCTTCGAGGAAGTCTGCCGGCTTCACTTCGCGTGAGTTTTGGCATATGCCTTACGCATCTCGTGTCTTCCCTTCCTTATCGAGTTTTTCTTCTGCAGGCCTTTTGTAGGCTCAAGTCTGAGCTACTCCATTATAGGGCTAGGCTTCGGAAAGCTGTGGATGAGGGTAGGTCCCTTAGGCTCCTCTGCGAGGAGAAGAAAGTTGAGTTGATGCACTGGTGATATGAGGCGTACCGAAGCTCGAATTATGAGAGCTATTTGATGTAGCAGGTAGTCTCTCGCAATACACGTTTTGCTTTTTAACCTTTATGGTTAATATTTTGCCTACCTCAATTGCAGAAAAAGATGGATGCTCTGGAGCACCTTAGGGCTGAATCCGATCGAGTTAGGAATGACTGTGGCGAACTAAGACCTTAGGTGCAGGCTCAAGCTTCAGATGAGAAGGGTGCCTTGGCTAAAGTTCCCGCCTTCGAGGCCCAACTCTGCTTGGATCGTGACAACGCTTCAGTTCAAGCGGATGTGATCGCGAAGCTCAAGTCCAAACTTTCGAAGGTCAAGGCTGAAATCGGCTGAAGCAACATTGAGTCTGATTAAGGCTGATCAGGAGATGGTGATTCGTTTGAAGGATGCCACTGATGCCCAAGCCGAGTTGAAGAGGGTCCTAGATCGTGAAAAGAGGATCGAGGAATATGTTCATTGCAGATCTCGAAGAGAGGTACTTAAAGAGGTCGGTGCCAGGGGTTTTGATCTCCCAAAGAGCTGGCTCGAGTAAGGGCAGACGAGCGTGATGCTCGGTTACTTCTGGCCGACGCTGCGGAGAGAGAAGATGAGGCTAGTAGGCCGTAGCCCTTTGGAGCGGAGCACAGACTTTGCTATTTTGTATGTGACATTCGCAGAGCGCGTTTGTAAATGGAGAATGCACCTTTTTGTGTATGTGAATAAAAGATAACCTGAATCTTTATCTCTTATGTATCCCTTTCTACTTTTCTTTTGACTAGGTGGACTGGTTACGGAGTTGGCGAGAATCCTTAGCCTCGCAATATGGCTCCGGGGCTTATCAGGCATGCCCGGGGGCTCTTACGCGTTCGGCAGACGTGGCCTTTTTAGTGTAAGTTGGTGTGGGGGGTTTCATGTTTTTGCTTGACTGTCTTGGGTTTAGTCTCCGAGTTAGATCACGACTCGAGCTCAATCGACCCTCAAGTTTTGAGTTTTCATGGGATGGCGACAACGGCTCTTACGCCTTGGGTCGAAGCGACATTTTATGTATGTGGCCTTGAGGCTCGCGAAGCTGGAGACGATGGCTCTTACGCTATGCCCTTAGGCATTATGTATAGTTAACTATTTTGGATCCGGTCTCTGAATCGGGTTACGACTCGAGCTCACTTTGATCCTCAAGTTTTCAAATTTTTGTGGCCTGGCGATAATGGCTCTTACGCCTTGGGTCGAAGCGACCTTTTATGTATGTGGCCCTGAGGCTCGTGAAGTTGGCAACAATGGCTCTTAGGCTTTTGCCCGTGGGCATATGTATAGTTAGTTATTTTGGATCCGGTCTCCGAATTGAGTTATGACTCGAGCTCATTTTGATCCTCAAGTTTTCAAAATTTAAGCTGGCGACAGTGGCTCTTACGCTTTTGGTCGTTGCGACCTTTTAGTGTGTGGACCTGTAGGCATATGTAGGCTTTGTTTTCCTCTCGTTAAGGACTTTTTTGAAATGATTTTGCCTGACCCATCGTTGGTTCGGAAAGAACCTCAATTTCAAGTTGTTAGCGGCGATGTTCGAGCACCTCGGAAGGTTTAGCTAGTGGGCTGAGTAGCTCAAAGCCTTTGCGATTTGGAGCTGACATGGTCGAAGCTCGTTTTCCTGTTCGAAGTAATGGCCTGTTATTTTGTTAGCGACAATCGGGCGTCCTCGAGTCGCGTTAATTTGGCTAGTGCAGCCTATTGACCGTAGTCATTTGCATTTGGCCAGAGCCATTTATGATCCCGACTGTGGTAGTTCAAGCGTCTACATCGAGGGTATGCCCTTTCGAGAGTCTCACAAATGCGACATATAGCCTAAACTTCAGGATTGAGTTTTATGCCTGTAGTAAGGCCTTACAAAATTTTCATGCCCGTTGAGGTCTTATAGTTTTTTTATGCCTGTTGAGGACTTACAGTTTTTTCATGCATGTTGAGGTCTTACAGTTTTTTCATGCCTGTTAAGGTCTTACAGTTTTTTTCGTACGTTAAATAGACCTTGCTAGACCGAGTTTGCCCGCTCAGGGTCTTACAGCCTCGGGTTTTTCAGTGTGGTGATTGGCGATAGTCTCCGAGTCATCGAGTTCGCTTAGGCTTGAAGGCCGTTACTCGTGTGCTCGGAATTGCCTCTTTGAGGTCTTATGAGTATGGAGTTCCGACCCTGAGGTCATGTAGGTATCAAATTGTTGACGCTAAGTCTCCGAGTATTTCGGGATGCACTCGATGGAGGAATCCTTGCTGTGAATATGCTGAATTTTCTTCAAAGTGCGAGATGCTTTAGGTAAAAGACATTCTTTGATTGCTTGGCATAAGTACATGTTGTTTTGTTGCCGTGAGCTCAGCCTGCGCCGACACGTCTCTTTTGACCGTTTGGCCCGGTACATTGTTTCCTATCGGGACTTAGTCTGTCGTTCCCTGGCTCTTTCGAGCGAACAACATCTCAAAAGGGGGGTGCCCTCCAGTGTTTAGGGTTGATTGCAAAAGTAGCCCTGCAAGCTTGTCGGATCCTCCTTTAGGCAGCGTGTCGCCCCACTAAGAACCTTACTGGCGAAACCCTCTTTGGGACAAAAGCTCGGCTGAGGGGAAATAGTGCGACGGGTGCCATTAAGGTCTTGGGATCTTCGGGTTGGGTTAACATTTCCGAACGCCCTGGACAGGTGCCTGCATATGGGTTAGTGTGAAATAACGAATGAGGGAGGTAGTCTTACCTTATCACGGGGTGCGCAGGTGATGTTCCGAGGCCCGGCGTGTCCCTGCTATTTTGGAGCGAGGACCCTGTACAACCCTCCGCTGTGTTTAATCGGGCTTGGCCGAAGACATGGTTTGATTACCCTTAGACTCTTTCGAGAGTGGAGATATTGGTGCTGGCGTTACGTTACGTGACGCAAACACTTCACTTGCCGCGTGTTGCCCCTTGTTGACGGTTTTAATTTTGTCCCTTGCTAGGGATTTTATTATTTGGCGAAGAGGGGACGACACTACATTTATGCGGTGTGTCCGCGACCGTCTGAATAAGGTGTTTATACATCGCGCCTCTTTGATGATATGTAACTTGGCGTTCTGGTCTGCGCCAACCATGCTGACTAAGAGGACGATATCTCCTCTTGTCGTTTCGACCACCGTGTTGAATCCGCCGAAGATTTGAGAGGCTGGCATGATTTGATCCGGCAGTTCGAGATGCTCCATGATCCTCGACCCGATAATATTGGTCGAGCCACTTGACTTCATGAGCACATGTTTTATTTGAAAATGAGTCAAACGAGGAAAAAGGTTACCAGTGCGTTGTTACGAGGTTGAGGCGAGGTTTTGGAGCCTTCCTTGCCGAATGCGAGGGTACCTTCAGATACGTATCCCCGGGTCCATTTTTCTCTAATGATGGACATTTTTATCCTCTTCTTTACATGTTTCTAGAGAGCGTCGTTGCACCTCCAATATCACGGTAATATGTCGCGGCCTGTTTGCTTCGTTCTCTTTGGCCGCCTTCCTTACGCGGAGCTGAACTTGAGCCCGATCGCTCAAAAATTCTCGGCGATGATTTTTATTGAGTAGCTTGGCTATGGTGGCCATCTTCGGCCCTATGGCCGTGCGTATTATGTAGTTCACACACCAAGCTGTGATTCCTCTGAGAAGGATTCGACCGAGTAGGCCTGGGCCATTTGGCGTCCCTGGTTTTGCTGACGGTGAACATGATGTCTGATACAACGATATTGAAATTGTATCCTAATGGGCGAGGCGCCCTCACTGGCCTCATGTCTCCGTCGAATCTGGCTCTGTTGACGACTCCCCGAGGATATTGTCCTCGATCCATTCTCCGATCGTTGCGAGGTAGGTTGCGTCTCGGGGCATTCCTCTTATCTACGGCGTACGGTAGGTATCTTTCTTTGTTTGGCATCGATTTCTTTACCAGGAGCCTGCTTGGGTATACTGAGCCCGAGGGGGCTCCCATCTGGTCATCCACGACCTTGATTTGTGACTGGTGCCGGTTGTGGGCGTCCGACCAGGTTTTGGTTGGATACCTGGTCAAGTTCTGTTTTAAATGCCTTGAAATCACCAAGCTTTGTTCATTTAGGCCTTGAGTGAAGGCCTGCACTGCCCAGTTGTCAGAGACCAGGGGTTGTTCTGTTCGTTCCATCTGGGAAGGAGATGCGAATTCTCGCGGTATTTCATTCTTCCTTTGCTTAATCTCGGATGCGTCGGGCTTTCCTGTCATTGCTTCGATGGCACCGACGTGTGCCTTTATGAAGGAATCCTCTAGTATGGTAAGTGAGTTTACGAGGTCGGGAGCTAGGCTATGATGCCACATCATGGCCCCCTTCAATAGTGTTTCCTCGAATTCTTTCAACAATACGGACTTGATCTCGTCATTCTTTATATTGTTGCCTTTTACCGCGTAGGTGTAGGTAGTAATGTGTTCATTAGGGTCAGTGGTCCCGTTGTACTTAGGGAGTTCCGACATTCTGAACTTCTTTAGAATGGATTTTAGGGGCCGTTTCCTCGGGGAACGACCTTTGTATGAACTTATTCGAATCCACGCCTTTGAGGACGGGGGTTGCACCTGGGATCTGGTCGACCCTAGAGTTGTAGGTCTCGACCTTCTTGTCGTTGGCTGCAATCATTTTCTCACCCGATTCGATCCTTTTGGTGAGATCCTCAAGCATTATTACTATGGCAGGTTTGGCTATCGATCCGTTATTGCTCGATCTCTTGGGTACCTGTTCGGCTGGGGGGGCTATTTCTGGTGCTACCGTGCTGAGAGTCTTGGGGTGGCTTTGTAACTGAGCGATAGCCGACTGTTGTGCTTGCAACATTTCAAAAATAACATGAAGACTAACTTCCTATTTTTCCCAAGCCGAGGTCTTCTGGGCTTCATGTTGGTCTCCATATTGTATGCTTCTGTTGATGTGTGAGGTTTCATCGACCTACTGCGTGTCTTGCAAACCCGCGTTTGCTGGAATCGGTGTAGGTGCATTATTAGTATTCTGCGGTGGCGCGCTAACGATTCCCCGTGATTTTCGAGGTTGTCGTTCTCAACTCTGTTTACTGAGCCAGACATTTTGACCTGAAATCAAAAGATCTTGGACAAGAAAAAGTGTTAAAGATAACTTGCATTTGCGTAATAAAACCAGCAAGAAAATAATCACTATTATTTTTAGCCCCATGGTAGGCGCCAAACTATTTACCGTGAAAATGGTAATAACAATTAATTAGTAAATGAGACTCTAAAAATACGTGATCTATTTTTATGCTAGTTATTAGAGTAGTGAATGCTAGATATGTGAAGTTTAACAATGAAATACAAGCTAAAATGGGGCAGTAATCAAATCGAGGGGCTTGCTACCCGGGCCTTGGACTGATCGATGAAAGGCCTCGAGGTTGATGCCTGGGCTCGAGCTCGAGCTATCGGGGGTAGTCGGGAAGGGAATAACAATTAGGATATAATTAAAGAAGTCTCTTTATGGCCAATATCAAGCAATAAATAAAGAACAAATACGAAAACAATAAATGGGAAGAGTAGCCTCGAGCGAGTAAGTTAGAGAGAAAAGAGGAGAGATATTATTGATCTTGTGTAGAATAGTTGGAGTTGCAACAGCCCTCTACAAAGTGGTGAGGATTCCCATTATATAGGAGGGAAATCCCGTTATAGTACAACGTACATTAATTGTAAAAGCATGGAGATGGGACGGCTAGACGCGACGCCTCGATACAGGCTCTGGGTAGGCCGGCTTTGTCAGACTTAGTCGTGTACCTTGGGAATTCCCTATTTTTCTCTAGCCTCGATCTTCGTCTTCTTTGAATTAAGCCTCGATGAGCCCCGAGGGAGGGAACTCAGTCACAACTTCGCGTCCTTGGGGTCTCGAAACATTCTTCTGAAGTGAATTGATAGCAAGAAATTAGGCCCTCTAATTTTGCCGCATACAATCTATATGCGGTAATGGAACAAAATCTTTAGCACAAGCTTTTATTAGGTCAGTATAATATACACAAACTCACCACTTACCATTCTTTTTAGGTACTACTACAGTATTAGCTAACCAATTTGAATATTTTACCTCGCGGATGGACCCAATTTTTAAAAGTTTTTGTACCTTATCTTGAACCACCTGATTTTTGAAAGATCCTTGATTTCTTTTCTTTTGTTTGACATGTGGATATGATGGATCTTCATTTAACTTGTGGGTTATCACTTCTGGAGGTATTCCTGTCATATCAGAATGGGACCAGGCAAAACAATCCACGTTAGTTTTCAAAAATTCAGTCAGCTTACCTTTCATTTCGTGTGTAGGTTGGCCCTAATGTAGTTCCTTTTAGGCCAGGGTGAAAATAGTACTACAAGTTCCAATTCCTCAATCATCGTTTTGATGTTTTCAATTTCCTCTGGCTCTTGGATGGTATCGGGCTTCGAGTCTACATCTGTTCACCCGTGTTCAGTTGAGGCTTGTGTTGCAGTATCCTCAAATGGATTCTGTGATTGCTATTTTTCTTCATTTTTTGCGCTTGAATATGCTATGGAGTTAATGCTCCTAGGCACTTGTTGGTCACCACAGATTTGTCGTATTCCCCATTGTGAAGGGAATTTTATAACTTGATGCAGGGTAGATGGAACAACATCCATTTTGTGAATCCATGGTCTACCGAGAATCATATTGTAAGCCATGTCCATCTCTACCACCTGACATTTCGTGTCTTTGACAACTCCTTCTGCGAATGTGGTGAGTATTTGATAGCAACTAGGTCGTGAATCCAAACTAGATTAAGAATTTAAGAAGTAAATACGGAAGCAATAACAACAAGGAATTGAACAACTAGAATTAAAGAGATGAAAATAAAGGATATAGGAAAATTTAAGGAAAGAATTTCCAAGAGCTTCCAAGAATGCAAGTTCTACAGCCTTGACAAGATCAAAGTAACAACGTCTTGATTTATGGAAGAAATCAAACGCCTTTACTTAAAAGTAAATCAAAAAAATAGATTCGGATCTTGACCGCTTTACGAGTAACTTGAGACAACAATTAATAACTAGTATTAATCGCCTTCTAAGAATACCACAAAGGAATCAAAGATATCATAAAAGAGAAGTAATCTTACTACCTTGAACTAAGAACTAGTAAAGGTTGAAAGATAAATCTCAAAGCACAAGTAACAAAGGTTCAAAAGAACTCTCAAAGTATGATATACTTAATCAATAATGTAGTCCCTTATGAATGAGAGGAAATCCTTATTTATAGGAGTTAAAAGCCCTTTAAAATAATTTAGGGGGTTGCTAAAAAGTCATCTAAATTAGTTAGGGGGCTTCTAGGGGTCACAATAGCCATCAAACTTAGGTAGGGGGCTCCTAAGGGGTAACAAAAGCCATCAAAATTAAGTGGGGGGGGGGGCAAATCCTTTTGGGGCAGATTTGGGCCTTAAAACTACTAGTTTGGGCCATTGGTTTGAACTCTATTTGGACTCCTTTTGAAACACCCCCTTTTGGACCTCTTTTAAGGTCATTTTGAGCCCTTTAGGTGGACTTTAAGGGCTGATTAGGTGGCCCAATCTTCCTCCTCTTAGACTTCAATTTGGACTACCAAATAATTGTAAAACTTGGACAATTCATCTCCTTTGGGCTTGAGCTCTTTCTCTACAATTAAAAGCTTCTTTATTTGCCATTGAAGTCCAACAACCTTAGTTTGCAACTCTTTAGCTTGAGATCTTATAAATGGCCTTGGAGCTTCCAAAACTCTATCATCTCTATCATTGTCCTTAATTATATCCTTGTCCTTGATGCTATCAGTATTATCTCCCCTTTTGTTACGACGCTCGAGTTGTCAAAACCAGATAAGTTGTGCGCCTTGGGTATCAGCTTATCTTCAGCTTGCATTTCGTTTACCACTCTTAGCAAAATGATATTCACGGGACTACCTGGATCAATCAAAACTCGTTTCACATTAGTGTCATGTATAAGTAAAGATATTACCAGCATGTGATTGTGTGGGGTTAGCATGACATCTGCATCTGCATATACATCGTCAAAAATAATACTTTCTTCTTCCAAAACATGTCAAACTCGCTTCCCATGTGTGACTGTAATTTTTGAAACCTTCTTGGCTGCCGTATATGTTACGCCATTAATTGTTTCTCCTCCGCGTATGACATTAACTGTCCTTTTTGGTGAAGGGGGTTTAGGGGGATCCTATATGTTCTTCATATACGCTTGCTTACCTTTTTCACTAAACAATTCGGTTAGATATCCTTGCTTTAACAAATGTTCAACTTCACCTTGCAACAATCTGCAATCTGCCATTTTGTGACCATGATCGTTATGAAACTCGCACCAAAAATCAGGATTTCGCCTATTCAGGTTTGATCTCATTTCCTTTGGCCATCGTACCTTATCTCACATGCTTCTTAATACTGTTGCAAACTCTGATGGGCTAACATTGAAATTGTAACTGCCAAACTTTGCCTTTGAGCTTCTATCATCATCTCGCGTCTCTTGTGTGTTTCGCTCTTTTCCAAACCATGATGATGAGACTGACTCTGTATCTCTCGATCTATGATCGTACCTTGAGTTATCCTGCTTTGAACGCGAGTCTCTTCCTCCTGGTCCCATGTAGGGCTCGTACTTGTTTTTACCGGACCTTTTTTCAGTTTCAGCACATCTTGAACTTACCCTCTCCTCTTTTTGAGACTAAGTGATGGTATCTTCTTCTATCCGCAGCTTCGTGTTGTATCTGTTGCAAACATCATTCCAAGTTGTTGTTGGAAATTTACGTAGACTTTACTTGAGTCGCCTCGTGGATTCTGAACTTTTCTCATTTAGATTACTGGCAAACGCCATAGCCGCCCAATTATCAGGTACGCGTGGCAGCATCATCCTCTCACGCTGAAATCCATCTATGAATTCTCTAAGCAGCTCCGAATCTCCTTGCTTTGAGCTCCCGAGAGTACATGTTAATGCTCCCTTAGTGAGTGTTTCTCCGAATTTTTTCACCATTACTGATTCAATTTCTTGTTTGGTCAAGTCGTTGCCCTTTACACCAGTTGTAAATGCAGTTACGTGGTCTCATAGATCAGTTGTTCCATCGTATTTTGGAATATCGGGCATCTTGACTTTCTTCAAAATTGGTAAAGGAGCGGCACTTGGCTTCCAAGGTGTTTGCAAATATTTGTCTATATTTATTCCCTTGATTACATGCGGTACTCCAGGTATTTGCTCTATGCGGTCAATCTGCTCCTTGAGCGGTTTCTGCAAAGTTAATAGTTAATTTTGTAAATCAGAATTAATTGTATTACCTGGTTCTCCATCACGAGACTCGCTGGGAGTTCCACCACTGCCTGAATTAACGAGTCCAGAACGAGGGTTTTCAAAAGTGTTGTTATTTGGAGTTGGCGGTGTAATCGACAACTGGCTGGTAAAAGCCTGGAGAGTGTTGTTGACCTGTTGAGCAACTAATTTTTTAAGAGCTTCATCGATAA